GGAGTGGAAGTTCACTCAGCAGTAGATATCCAAGTACAGTCTGCGATGTTTTTTTTTGAAAATTACTGAAATTTTCTGATTTGCTAAATTTGTCTCCTATGATATTAAAGCTTTTTACAGTATTTTCCACAAATTGAAACATCACAATTAACCTAAAGTATGGTCTCAATTTGAATAATGTTTTTGTTTGAATTGTGGTTTATCGCGCTATAATTTTTTTTTTTTGCACTGACTTTTTAATTTTAAATACTTATTTCATGTGTTCAGTCATTGCCCCAAAGTGCACAGGAGTTCTCATGGTTTGGCATGTACACAACCTTTTATTTTGTGTTTTTATTTCTTTACAGAAAGTGGAAGCACACATTCCTAAATATCTACTAGATGATTTCCATAGCCGTCTTTGAGTAGAGAACTGAACGTATCCTGCATCAGTTAATTGTAGTCTCGTCAAGGGTCAATTGCGATCTTGATAGCAATTCCCAAGCACCCTTTTAAACCATGCAAAATAGATAATTATATATTTCATCTTTGCTTTAAACTGATAGAAACATTGTATTTCTAAGAATGCAATAAAGTTATATTGTTATTCTTGTTTATATTATTATCAATTTTTCAAAAATGAGTTTTTGGAACGTTTCAGCAGATTTTCTTACAGCAAACATATTGTACCTTTAGATTTATCTGAGACATTGCACTTCTACTACCCCAAAATGTCTTGACATACTTGTACTGCAAAGTATACCAAATGTATAGAACACTTTGTACTCTCTGTGATATTATATTTATACAGTGAATTGACCTCTTAACCTTATGATCTTCACATGCATGACCTCCCCCCCCCAAGGGTCACACATCCTGGTACTTTTGAAAGGTTCAGGGTTTTAAATTCACTATAAATGTGATTTTGTTGATTATATTTCCCCCAAGAATGCATGCAGTTGTCATTGAAGAACAATCACATTTGACACAGTAAAACTGTGCTGTTACCGGTACAATAACCCCCCCCCCCCCCCATCGAAGGTGACGAAGGTTGTGTACCGATAATCATTATCATATGGTTAATGCCTAAAACCATTTCTTAGTTCTTACTGTAATTTTCTGTTAGCTTTTAATTTTCTGTTGGCTTCTATGTCACTTTTTATACAGAATTATCAAATTTCAAAGTTGTATTTATATCATGTCTCAAACAGCAGTTGTGATATTATTCAGGGTTTTAACGAACAAACTTTATTTGACACCCAGATTTTCATAGTGCTTTTTTGGTTTTGATCCTTTAAATTGCATTGAAATGAGCTGTATGCCCCTTTATTGATACATTGGTCTTATGGGTAACATTTATATTGGTCAGCTTTGATTTATTTTAAATTGTTGACTATTTGATAATTCTTGATGTTAAAATTTCATGAATAGTAGTAATTACAAATTGAATTTGTAGACTCCTTGCTGTATTACATTTTGATGTCGAAAGTAATAAATAATATTTAAGAAGATCTGGACTGGCTTGGAATTATGAAACCCTGGAATCAGTTTTGTTATGAATCAATATATTAGTTGTATATTGAAAATATGAGAGAAAAAGATATGAAAAGCTTATAGACTTTTAATTATACCAGTTTACTGCATTACCTACCAAGTCAGTGGAAATAATAAATTCCATTCATTACTTGTTAGGCTTAACTACAGATTACAGTCCCAATCGGAAACTATTAGGGAATATACCCTGTTCACAAAGAACACCTTAGGGTAGCATTCCCTATAGAAAAAGGCCTCTCCTAAGGGGTCATCCAGTCATTACCAGCATTGCAGTTTGTATATGCATAATCATATCTAGTCATCACCAGCATTGCAGTTTGTATATACATTGTCATGTCCAGTCATTACCAGCATTGCAGTTTGTATATGCATTGTTATATCCAGTCATTACCAGCATTGCAGTTTGTGTATGCATTGTCATATCCAGTCATTACCAGCATTGCAGTTTGTATTTCCATTATCATATCCAGTCATTACCAGCATTGCAGTTTGTATATACATTGTCATGTCCAGTCATTACCAGCATTGCAGTTTGTATTTCCATTACCATATCCAGTCATTACCAGCATTGCAGTTTGTATATGCATTGTTATATCCAGTCATTACCAGCATTGCAGTTTGTATATGCATTGTCATATCCAGTCATTACCAGCATTGCAGTTTGTGTATGCATTGTTATATCCAGTCATTACCAGCATTGCAGTTTGTATATACATTGTCATATCCAGTCATTACCAGCATTGCAGTTTGTATTTGCATTGTCATATCCAGTCATTACCAGCATTGCAGTTTGTATATGCATTGTCAAATCCAGTCATTACCAGCATTGCAGTTTGTATTTCCATTATCATATCCAGTCATTACCAGCATTGCAGTTTGTGTATGCATTATCATATCCAGTCATTACCAGCATTGCAGTTTGTATATGCATTGTCATATCCAGTCATTACCAGCATTGCAGTTTGTGTATGCATTGTTATATCCAGTCATTACCAGCATTGCAGTTTGTGTATGCATTGTCATATCCAGTCATTACCAGCATTGCAGTTTAAAGAAAATGCTACAGCCTGAAGAGAGCTTGAAAGTTTTAGAAAATCAAACCCCTCGCGTTAGTCTGGGTCGTTCTTTCTCATCAGTGGAAAGGTTATTTGCCGTTTCTGCCGAATGAAAACGGACTAATTAGTGAACTACATTATCGAGTACGCTGCGTTCCCTGGGTATCGCATTGGCTTGAATTTTGCATGGGCTGTTCTACCGAAAGTGTCAAACATGCGGGTGAGAGCGTTTTATCCTAACAATAATCGTTGGCGAGAAATCTTGTTATAAACTAAAAGTAAATTGAGTGTAATTCAGTGACCGCGGTCCAACATTTCAAGCTGGTCTCATGAAATAAATGCATCTCGCTGGGCAAAAATCTTGTCACCCGATTGGATGGGACACCCTGTGGTTAACATTACGATGTTTGTTACTCATCTAACTAGTTCCAGTTTCACGCAGTACTCGTTTTTTTAAAATAACATTTTTGTTTGTTTACTTAGCAGTCACGTGATAACCATTAAATTCTACCCAAAATTACCCAGAATTTCAGAAAGTGTGAGATAAGAGGTTTCATAAAATATATGGTTTACTATAGTTCAGGACAATTCTTATATGAAAATATCAAGCCTAACTATAACATACTTGTTATGTCTACTACATGCTTAATGTTGCTCAATTCACCTTGATTTTCAGTCCTCGTCCTTCCTAAGGGGTTCCGAAATCTTCAGCGTTGTTCATTGGTGTATGTGATTCAGGTAAGGTCGTTAGTTGTCAAGCGCAGTTTTGTCTGTGCCATCAAGCTGCTAGTTTCATTTGCATGAAAAACACACTTGGGTGTTCTTTCGACATTTCAGTTCTTCACAGGATGTCAACGTGTGTTAAACACATGCCCGGGTTCTCTTAGCATGTATCAGGGGGAAATTTCTCGTCTTGTCTCTATATCACGTCTGCTTGAGGTACCGGACCGGGAAAGCCACTTAAGCTTTACAGTCAAATAGACACAAACAACGAAATACGTTTCAATAGCTAGTCTTTAGCCACATCGAGAACGCCTCGAGGCAAACTGCCTCGCCGGAGACTCTGCCCTGGACTCACTAAGACTCTCAAAACTTAACCAATTACAAAGAAGTTTAAAGACATAGGGTGTAACCTTCACACATTCAACTTGCACACATAGCCAATCAAACTAAGTACTGAACACGTGATATCTTTTGATTAATCGTTATTAATATTGTGACATAAATTGTAAGTTAAAAGTACAGAGCCCTGGCTGTGTGAATGAAAAGCGCACATGTTTGGATACTTTGCAACAACCCATTGCACATGTTTATTTTTAAGACTGCTGATACAGTCACTGGATTGTGTTGTCAGCAGAAGTTGAGATACATACATCCTGTCCCTCCCTGTGGCATAATGGTATGTCTCAGACAGTGACATGGTGATTGTGAAATACCTTGGAATGTGCTGAGCCCAGTGTTGTTGGCAATGAAATAGA